CAATTTTTCCATCTACAAATGTGGCCCACTTTAGACTGAAATCCACCCACTAGCTAAATAATATCATCCTTAGGTGTGTAACAAACTCGTATATATTTCTAAAATGCTGATCTCAAAATCGTACACATGTTCTTACAAGTACAATTTTACAATTTTAAATTTAATTCACACATGGTAATAGTGAATTACATTATAATTATTATAACTAAGGGACGGATTTATACTTAAAGAAAATCCTCAAAATGCTCCTAAAAATTCTGTAATATACTACAAAGTATGCTTTTATTTTTAAATATGCACTTATAATTAAATTGAAAGTATTTTATTTTAAATCATGTAAAAATGTCACAAATATTGCTATTCAAAATTGAAACACCGGCTTTAAAAATCTTTAGGCTCGTTTACGTATATCTGTAAATGACTTCTTATTGGTGTTTTTACTTTAAGCATTTTAAAGTTTCGAACGAATAATCAAAAAAACTACAAAAAAAAAACTGAGACAGTTTTACAAGTAAAAATAATACGAATGCACGAATGCACGACACTGACTGATTAGTTTCTACGATTCCGTCAAGTTCAAGTGCTTCATATATTCATATAAATTTATCTATATCAAGGATGGACGACTCAAAGAAATAGATATATTATAGAGGGCCAATTTTTTTAAAGTTTTTAATACAAAAATGGAACAGATTTTTCATTTTCATTTCTATAACTTTGTCAAAATTTAATCCAGTGGATCCCGCTGTGAACAATTTGGTACCAAAACCATTTATCTGTATTAAAGTTATTAAATGGTTGGTCAAATAAACCGAACTTAGTTCAAAAATACCAACATTTATACAGGTAATATCTAAACGTTTTTATTTTGTACATGTAAGCCATAAAATTGAAGAAAAAAATGTTAAATTAAATAATAAATAAACAAAAATACAAAATAAAAATTAATAATATAATTTCGGGACAAATAATTTTTCAATGATTTTATGTTGTGAAAACTGGAGGAAATGACTTAATTTTGTCGAAAATCACGATTTTTTTCCTTGAAAGAAATATTTTTTTTGAAACATAAAATATTTGTTGATATATATAACAAAATATAATGAGTAAATAAAATGTTGAAATTTACGGTATAACTTAAATTATTGTTGTCGAGATATGGTTTCATTTCTGCAGCCAAGTGCAGGAGTAGCTGCATACAGTTGCTGTTTCGTCTTTTACATGTAGTGGTATTCATGGATTTTTACGGAAATTGTTTTGTTTACTCAACCGTCGAGCCTGATGCTACCTACCAGTCAATAGCAGTAACTATTTCTTAGACGACCAGTACTGTGTAGACGGTCGCAACAACTGAAATAATATTTTAATATTTTTTCTTCGTCCCTCAACAAAATTAATATTTTGAAAGCTGATGATGCAAAACTTAGCAAACTTATGTCTAGATTTCCATCATTATTTAACTATAGTCATGAAGAGTCTTTTGGTGTTATAGGAAATTTTACAGTAGTTGTTGGAGTTTTAAAAATATATTGCAGATATAACAAAATAAAATTGACAATCTTGACAGTCAGTTTTGAAATTTAACATTCAGCATCGATGAGGTGTTTTATAATTAAATTTTCAAACCTCTCTTCATTACTCCTAGCTGTAGACATATTTTGAACTTTTTCTTTCCAAACAACAGATTTCATCTCGTTCTTCTTCTTCGAAAATATTTACTAGAACAAATTTTAATAACGTCATTCGCGATTGAAAGTTGGTAATAAAATAAATTTTAATTTGATTGAATAAAAAAACTAATAACGTTACGTGCGATGTACGCAGCAATAACTGCATGCAGCCACTGCTACAGTTGACTCCTAAAACAAAACCTTACTTTTTGAAAAAGAAATCTTTATGTTTATCGTTTTATTTTTTTGTATTGCTCAAGTTCAGTGGTCGGCAACCTTTTTGGACCCTTGGTCCACATTCACAAATTAAAAAGGATTCACGGGCCAGACAATATACAAAATTTATAAGTGTTTTAATGACGTTTCTTAATTTTGGAATTTAATGCGGGTCATATAAAAGAGACGTATGGACCGGATGCGGCCCGCGGGCCGCCGGTTGCCGACCACTGTTCTAGTTAATACTCCTATACATTCAATTAAATTCACTAAAAAAATCTCATTAATAATAAGGTTGATGCTTTTATTACTTTTAATAAACAAAATTTCATTGGTACAACGAAACCCAATTGTATTAGTTGTTGATACATATTCTAACGTTACAATAAAACAAATGTTGCCCACATAAACCAAACCGAGTGTCCATAGTATGCAGTTTTTTTTAACCTTGTTAGCATTCATTGAATTTGGGACCATACCATTTTGCCCACATTAGGTGGAATCATCGACTGTGTTTAAGAACGTTTGTAATTTTTTTTATAGAGTTTGATTTATTTCTTTATTTAATAATATATACTAATATATCCATTGCAAAAACTCGCATTAGATCAATACATTAACACATTTTAAAAAATCAATAAATGAGTATAATAACTGAAAGACATATCGAAATGACAGAAAGTGTTTATTAAAATACGTATATGTTCCGTAGCATTTGGATAGACTATGTATGAGAGGGTGTAATTATTACATGAAATCATTTTACAGTGCTTCCTTCCAGACAATATTAGCTAATATAAGTAATTATATTAGTATTTTTTGTGAGTTGTTTGTTGTTATATCACTGGGTAAGAGCCAATAAGAATGCAGTATTTAAAAAAAATTGAATGTAAAGTTGATTGTGCACTCATAACTTTCCTCAAACTCAACGAATTTAAGCAGTTAATAGCTCAAAAGAAAGAACTTGATTCACGGAGTGTTCTGATAGCGAAACGATCAATATCCATTCATTAGAAAAGAAGCTATGAAAATTCAAATGTTGTTTGAGTGAATGTGTCCCAAAAGAAATGTACAGAAAATCAAATAATTTAACTTATAATTTTATGTTACGTATTAATTTATGGTGTTTTTAAACAGGCATAAAAACCTGTAGATTGTAAAATAGAAATGATTAAAATGATTAATCAAAATATTTAATGGTTATAGTTTTACAAAGTATAAATGAGAAATAAACCGCTGTTAAAATACTATAATACGTACAATAGCTCGAAATAAAGTATTTATAATAGTTGTTATATTACACTGCGATAAAAATATTTGTATGGTAAAAACAATTGTATTTTAATTATTTTTATACGTACAAAGATAATGTAAAACTAAAAAAACTTAGTAAAACAATTAATCTTAAGATGAATTTGTGTAATTCTCTCTTCGTAATATGTAAAATACTAAACGTTCATAAAGTTGGCCTCCATAAGTACTGCAATTTTTTTTTAAATCTATATCATTTATTTGCAAATCCAAACTCTCATCGTGAAATTAAAAAATTAAAATTGGGCCTACTACACGTAACTCACCCGTTTTGACATCACACCAACCAAAAGTTAATGATTAACAAGTATTTGCTAGTCATTCAGGGAGCCATATAAACTTTTAAACTTGTGAAGTTAGCCCCCCCCCAAGTGGTTTCAGAACTTCCATATTGATATTAAAAAAAGGTAATGATTAGCAAGTATTTGCAAACCCATTTTTATAATTTGCAAGTAAACCAAGCGGCCAATAAAAGCTTTCAAAGTTAGGAACTTAATCTACCCAAGTTTTCCTAAAAATTTGCAAATAGTACCATAACAATATATTTTCATTTACAAGTATTCGCAATTTTTTTCATAAAATTTGTAATTCATTCAGATGGCCTCTAACTTTTGAAGTTTTTCAGTTGACATGATGTGCTGACCTGAAACTTGGAAGTGGTTATCAAAGGCGTGCTCAGGAATTTTGAATGGGTGGAGGCTCAACTTTTATTAATACAATATTATAAGCATTATGAATTAAAATGTAAAAATTATAAGTAAACAAAGCATCATTTTTGTAGCATAAAACATATATTAAATTAAAATAATAAAACAAAGTCAAGTTTACGAGGTTTTTTAGCAAGCTCGTCAAAGACTTACAAATACTTCAACTAAAAGTGGTATATTAATTTTATCATTTGTACTTACGCGTCGGAATTATCAAATGTAAATTTATCAATATGTTTCACAACCGCCTCCATCCTATCATTAATTACATTTCTTAAGATAATTGTCTAAACTCGGTCTTATTCCTTGTTACATTTTTAAAACAATATTTTTCACGTACAGCTATTCCATTTATGGAATTTAACTTAACGAGTAGCTATGCTCTAGAGCAATGGTTCTTAACCTTTTGTAGTTCACGGACCCCTAATGAAAGATTTTTAGAAATTGCGATCTCCCTCTTTTTATGAATACATATTTCTACAAAAAATCTCATGTTATTACAACCATTATTATAATAATTATATTACATAATAAATTACATAAGTAGACAACAAAAAATACACATTTATAATTATTTTTATTACACTTCATTTTTCAGTTTATTTAAATTTAAATTAGTTTAGTTTTAATTTTAATTTTTTTTTTTAGTACACTTAAAATGTCATTTTTATTTACTAAAGCAATAGTTGGTGTTGTACTTGAGACACAAGTTTTTGAATATCGTAATAAATATAAGATCTATCTCTTATAGAATAAAATATATTATTTCCGAAAAAAAAAATAATCCAACAATATTGTAATAATGCACATTTGTTACGTGTTAAAGCTGCTGCGGACCCCCAACATGAATATCGTGGACCCCTAGGAGGCCGTGGACCATAGGTTAAGAACCATAGCACTAGAGTCCTTGAAACGGGTTTTAGTTTCATGAACTAAACGATAACTTATTGTTTTGAACTATTATTCTAATATCTTTTAAAATCGATTTTACAACAAATAATATACAATACAATTCTTGTTAATTATTATGCGGTAAATATTTTAACATCTAATTTAACGGTTGAATTAATAAAATATTACTGTTCTATTTTTGCAGACGTACGTTGTTAGTGAAGAATGTCGCATGCGGACCGTTTGTCGCCGGTGATATGCCCTTTAGCCAAATTGGGACGGTCGTCTCCCGGTTCTCTGGAGTTTACCCCGTCTGTGCGAAACCCGTCCTACCACTCGTACACGGTCTTAGAAGCTGAAACTAGCTTTACGTACAGCCCTACATTGCGGTGCAGCTCACCGTGCTTAGATCAAGGATATCATACGTTAGTGACTGGCGGTGGGGGGGGTGGTTGCTCCAATCTGCCACTGCATTCGTTCACGGCCATCAAGCACCGGCGTTCGCAATCCCGGACGGTCATCGGTTCGCATTTCGATCGGCTTCGAGATGAGCTGGTGCTCAAAATATTTTCATACCTCAATAGTGCGGACCTATGCGCGTGCGCGGCCGTATGCCATCGATGGGAGAACCTCGCGTGGGAGCCCGTCCTGTGGAGGACTATCGCGTTGTGCGGTGAGAACACCTGCGGCGACAAAGCAGTCAGGTGTGTGTTGCGTCGGCTATGTGGTCGAACCAGAACGGGCGCGTGTCCCCAAGTACAAAGGCTGTTCCTCAGTGACGGCACAAAAATATCTGACAAGGGGCTGACCGCGTTGGCCCGGCGGTGCCCTGAACTCACTCATGTTCAACTCCATGGTAGTCCAAACATTACTAATTCTGCAATTTCTGAGTTGGTAGCTCGTTGCCCCAACCTACAACACTTAGACGTCACCGGTAAGTGAAGATAATTTTTTTTTAATTTTCAACTATATATGGCTACGTGTGTTGACTCAATATATTTATTTACTTATCTATATTATTAAATTATTCAATTTCATTAATAAGTTATGTATTGAAAAATATCCTGATAAAAACTATTGAAACTTGTCACTTTTTTTTTTTTTTTAATTTTAATATATGTATTATTACGTTTGGGTATGAAATCTTGAGTAGCCTTGGTTTGTTGAAGTTTCTAGATTTACCTGTTAGAATTTTCGGATTTTAGTAGTGCATAAACGTCTTATATGAAAATATTTTTTTTGGAAGGATATATATAAATTTTAATAATGCACCTAGTTAAAATATATAATTTTAAAATAATAGAAATAAAATCGCAGTTGGAAAACGAATATAGTTTTTAAAAACATATAGTTCTCCTAAATCGGCTTCTAAGGGTACATTTATAATAGTAAAAAGAGCCTTGCAATCTAAAAATAATTGCAATGGGTTCCATTAAACGTTTTACCAAAATTTACAGAATAAAGTAATGTGATTAATGTTTTAATGTTTTTAAATTAATAATCTGAAGTAGAAAATTTTAATGGGAATCTAAAAATGAACAATTAATTGTACATATGAACTTTATTATTTTTTTTTTAAGCCATATCTTTCATTTATTGAAAATCAAAATATAATCATTTTCTATTTTTATTTTATTTTTTATTATTTTATTAATATTTAACGTCCTAACATTGTAAAATATATTTATCAACAATTAAACTTGAGAAAAGTTTAAACACTCCGAACATTAACAAATTATTCTAGTTTATAGTTTAATATAGAACTTCTGATCGCGGCCAAGGTTTCTATACATGTAAATTACTATAAACACATACGACACCATATATATACTCGTATGTGACATTTATATATACAAACTACGTAGGAAACATGTACAATATATTACTTTCATTTTACCTACTACATATTATTCTTTGTTGTTTGGTTTCGTATAAAACCTTATATACGTATTACAATTTAATCACATTTGTATTTTATCTATATAAAATGCATGTGCTAGAAAATAATAAGAATAAACAATGTCCCAATGCATTTTTATAATTTTATATTGATACCTATACATAATCTCGAAAGGAATATGTCCATCACTGGATTAGAACACTTTTTTTTATTCTTATTTTTCCCATGCGTATATTCACTGTAGTACACAATACACATTACCAAGATCTTTGGTACTAATATTAACGCTGGCTTGTGGAATTCATGATAACTATATAGCACACTGATATGACTCATTGAAGTAGTTTATAGTTATTTACGATGGATAATAATATAACTTAAAAAAACTTAAAAAAAGAAAACAGTTATGCCTCACGCACAATTCTTCTGAATATTGATATTATATTCCATATAAGTATATAATTATAAGGCAAAATACAAGTGACGAGTTTTTGCAGATATTTTAACAAAATTTAATACAATAAAATTTTGAAAATAATATGATACATTGTCTATGCGCAAAAGTGTAACTTAGTTTAATATATTAAAACTGTGTAGGTGCTAAAAATGTGTCTGCCTAAAAATTAATCTTAAAAGCTTTTATAAAATATTTTATTGAAATTATACTAGGGTGTTAAGAATAATGTGAGGTAATTTCATTCTTAGTAAATTTACTTTGAAAAAATCTCAATTTTATTTAAAATATATTACACTTTTATGTTATGAAGTATACTTTACAATTGTCTACAAAGTAATGTAGGGGTAGTCTCCAATAATATTTTTTATTGACGTTTATTCCGACAAATATTCTCATGAAATATTGCAATGCCATATAGTGCGTCTACATAATATTGCTCGTTCAAATATTTTTAAAAACTGAAAAATGTAATTGCTTCTTAGCAATGCATATCATATTATAAATAACAGCGTGGCAGTAACGACCATAACAATAATATGGACGTTGAGGACGTTTCAGTCATTATACTTATACATAATGCTAATAAATGGACGTGAACGTGATGGTTCTAGTCATTTCGAGTCATGTATTTGAGTATAATATTGAAAAAAAACTTTTTGTATGGCTGCTAGTCCGACTACCGGTTACCAATTTCTGGCTATTGTTTATTATGTAAAAGTAATGTTTCAAAAATTATTATGCACGTGATAGTCTGTATTTGTGAAGAAAAACATTTTAATTCATTGACATAATGTATAAATGCATTATCATTTACTATACATATTAGTCCAATCTATGTCTTCACTATAGTAACCTCTAAGATTTTCATTGTTCATTCATTGTTCAGGATAAAATACAAAAAATAAATAAAATATCTAAATAATCTATTTATTCAAACTGGAAACCAACATTTAAACCATTCGGAATTCTTGACAAATTACGGACGAAGATTCGAATTAAGTAAATGTATGAATTTCGAATAAATATATATTGATTAAGATACTCCTGGAGCCGCAAAGAATCTAAATTTTATTTGATTCTTATTGGAATCGATCAAGTTATTTAAAAACTTTCGGCTATAATGAATACAATAATATTATAGTTTTCTTTATCAATATAAAATTGAATCAAACAGTTTTATATTTATTTTGTACTAATTAGATTAAAGTAAATAATAATTATTATGTATGAAAAAATGGATTTATAAATTGTTCTAGAGTCTTGACTATTGTTATTTATAATACAGTCGAGTCGCGATAACTCAAACCTCAATAATTCGAAAAACTTGACTACTCGAATTGTGGTGTTTTATTCCCCTAGAAAATTTTTCCCCCATAAATTAGTTAGTTATCACGAATAATACATGTCTCGAAGTGAATTTTTATCCCTCTTCAATTTCGAGTTATCGCGACTCGACTGTATATATTATTATCCTTTTTTACTATAAAATATGATATGTTTTGCAACACAAAATTGTTAGTATCTACAACAATAAAATCTGTTTATATAGTTTATTTATAAGTGAAACTATATTATAAACAATTTCGATATATATATATAAAATTATATAAAATTATTGTATATTCTTTAAATGAACATGATACAAATAATATGATGAAATTGTTAAAAATAAACATTAAAACATATATAATCATTATAATAAGTAGGTACCTATAGTTAGTTGTTAATTGTTAACTATGAAATGTGTTATTTGTTTAGGTTGTGTCAAAGTGAGTACCGTGGGGGTGTATAATCGCCCGGAGCCATCGTTGAGACTGTGTTTACAGTATTTGGATCTAACTGACTGTCAGCTTGTCGACGACACAAACCTAAGTGTAATCGTTAGTAATTGCCCACAACTAGCCTATTTGTACCTGCGGCGATGCACTAAAGTTACAGGTAAAGCGTATTCTACACAATTCTAGTTTAATTATACATGGTAAAATAGTTATTTTATATATGCGATACTAATCAAGTATATCAGCGTTTCCCAAAGTGTGTTCCACAGAACCTTAAGGTTCCGTGGGAAAATGAAAAAAATTTTGTTTTAAACTAATTTTAATAAAGAGTAACCATTAACAATATTATATATTCAGTATTATCAAAAACATTTTTAGAGTATTGATTTTCCTTTTTTTTTTTTTAGAAAAATTAAAGTTGAATTAGAATTAAAGACATTTGAATTCCGCGAAACACAAACTATTTTTTAAGGGTTCCGTGATGGTAAAAGTTTGGGAACCACTGAACTAGATATTTACTAGTGCTGTGCGTTTTTTTAATTAGCTAACTATATGACATTAATGTCGCTCAATGAAAATATTTTGTCACCTAGTTGATAGGATTTTGAAAGACTGGGCGAAACTTAATTAATTTTCAATTGATTTTTTAAATTATGTAAAATATAATTAGGTAATTAATGGTAGATACATTTGTATATAAGTAATTCAATACTGTATATTGTCATAATATCGATTTTTACTTTTTCTACCATCTTTAAGATTTATTTTTAAAAATTATGTGGAGTGAACGTGAAATATTAACATCATACTATGTTATACATTGACTATATTTAGAAAAAATTGTTTGTTGCTCAGTAAACATTTCTTAAAATATATACTGTACTAACATATTAGGTATACTGCCAGGGAAACACAAGCTACTAGTTCAAAATTAACAATTATTTAACTATTTTTTTGTAGTCGTCCAGGTACATGGTACTATTTTTACTCGCATTAATAAAAACGTTAGTTTATTAAAAAATTTAAATGTTTGGCCTTCACTAGGAAATTAGTACGATAGAAAATTAGTTTGCTTATACTAGTATACTCAATTTGGAGGATGGTTTTTTGACTAATAGATTACTAGTTTCTATTAAACTAGTATCGTGTAACACAGATTTAACGATGAGATACACATAGTTTATTGATTCAATCAATCAAACAAAATTGCAATACTACACGCTAAATTGTTTCCTATTTACGAATAGAATTTGTTTTTTGTTTATGTTTGGAATGTGTCCTCAGCAGTGCTGCAAAAACCGGATGTGCAGAGTATGCCGCGCATACGGGCCTATAGACTTACATGCATTTGGGGGGCCCCCTAGTCCCAGCTTAAAATAAACTACACTTTACAAATACACAATTATTTAATAATATTATATTATTATTTTATAATAAAAAGAAACTTTATTTAAAATGCAGGTAAGGATGTTATAATATTTTAGAATAATATAATATTTATTTAATAATGAGTCCATTGAGTATTTGAGTAGACATACAACATACCTACCTAAACTACTTAAACAAATTACTACATAAATATGTCGTGAAGTATAATATACAACAGTTGTAGGTATTTAATTTAATGTATATACATATATCATACACTAACATGTGCAACATGTTTTAAAACCTAAAACAATTGATACTTATAAATAAGACGTACAACAAAAATAAAAACTAGGAAGGGGCCTAATATAATTACCGCACACGGGCCTCCTATTTTTTAGTTGCGGCACTGGTCCTCAGGGCTAAATTAATATATTTCACAATAGCTATTAACTACATTTTTTTAATCAGTTATCTCTTCAGATATCTTGTTTAACAAGGAACAATTAATTTTAAAATAAAAATAAAATATACGCTGTTTACATCATTTTAAATTTAAACATTTATATATTATTGTTCATATGTTTTATATTCTATTGATAGTCCTTGTTGGATTTTAAAATGAAAACGTTCTCATTCATGAACGAAACTTAATAAATATTTAAGAAATATAGTTTCTGAATAAAAAGTCGGGAAACCTGATTTTGTAGGGAGCCTCAAGCACTGCAAATTATGGTCAATATAATGAATATGATATTAGAACCAGCCACAGTGACTATTCGAATAAGATAAGAAAATCACTTTTATAACTACACTAGTATATTATAGTCTTTAACTTGGTATTGTAGAAAGTAGTTCAGAAGATTGAACTAACTGAAGAACTCATACTAGTTCACTCCGTAATATGCCTCTGGACAATAAATGTATGACATGGTACCTAATAATTTTAATAGCATCCTACAGAAAAGGTGAACAGATAAACAGCAAGAAACTTTTGAAAATTATGTTAAAGCTTGATTTTATAATAATATGATGAAATGCGAAATGCTAAATGATAAATAAAGTAAAACGTATAAGTTTAAATGTATACCAGATTTTATTACCTATTTATTAAGATTAGTTCCTAACCTATGATAATTTTGAGTAAAAAAATCTAAATTATAAATTTGTGTTTCTATAGTTTCTAAGGAAACTTGTTGAGTTTGAAAGTTATCTCCAAAAATGTATAAATTCAGTTAAGTACAGTAAATTCTATATAACTCTCATTGGCCTCCGGAAAATTTTTAAAAAAACAAATCTACCTATTGCATAATATGAGTGTGTTTATGTGAAATATTCTGTAGTTAATCTAATTCATGATTTAATATTACGCATTTATATCGCATTTATCAGTTATAACAACCGTTTAACCTAAATGTTATTTATTTTGCAGACGCTGGCATCAAGTTTGTGCCGAGTTTTTGTTCAGCGCTGAAGGAGCTAAGCGTGTCGGACTGTCATCAAGTAACTGATTTCGGTTTGTACGAGTTAGCCAAGCTAGGAGCGTTACTGCGGTACTTGTCGGTGGCCAAATGCGATCAGGTGAGCGATGCTGGACTGAAGGTGATTGCTCGCCGATGCTACAAGCTACGGTATTTGAACGTGCGCGGCTGCGAAGCAGTCAGCGACGACGCAATCACCGTGTTGGCTCGATCGTGCGCTCGGCTTCGCGCGCTGGACATCGGTAAATGCGATGTCAGCGACGCGGGCCTCCGCGCGCTCGCCGAAAGCTGTCCTAACCTGAAGAAGCTCAGTCTGCGCAACTGCGACCTGGTCACCGACCGCGGTATACAGCTGATAGCGTACTACTGTCGGGGCCTGCAGCAACTTAACATACAAGACTGTCAGATATCCGCAGACGGATACAAAGCTGTGAAGAAGTACTGCAAACGGTGCATCATCGAGCACACCAACCCCGGTTTCTTCTGAGCAGCCGTGCCGAAGACTACAAGACAATAATAGTAGCGCGCATGCATTACGGCCAGGAACACAGTGGCCCGCTATAGGTCTTTGTACGCATTAAATGTTTTGTCATAGATACGCAGTGACGTGCTTAGAGCGTATTGTTTCTATGATCTTCGAAGTGTGTCTTTCCCGATCGAAAATATAAAGGTCATCTGTTCCACATCGATTGTTACTTTTTATATAAAATTGTGTCAAAAAAAAAAAAAAAAAAAAAAAGAAAGAAAAGTTGAACGTAAAATATAATCGAGAAACATCATGGATTCTTCATTGTGGTCATCATTGATATTTTAACGACACTGCCATTAATATTATTATTGTATGAATGCAATTAGATTATTGCGAATATGTAAAACGTAATGAAATTAAAACTTGTATTATTTTTAGTTAAGACTGGAATTTATATTTTTATCAATATTTCAAAGCGTTTTATCTATAGGTACACTCTAATCGAAAATAGACCAAAGTATAATTCATTAATTATTACTTATATTTTTCATTGTACAAAAATGAAAAACCTAGTAATAATGTTAAAAAAATGTGTTTGGTAGTTTAAACTTCAAATGATTACACATCAACATGTCGACTATCCATTTTAGAATTTTATATAATATGATGAAAAATAAATTAATGTATATATATATATATATATATATATATATGTAAATATGCATACATGTTTTACTATAATTTTAAAGACTTTTATTATAAGAACATTATTTATTTATGATTTACTTTAAATTAATTTCTGTCCTTATGTTTCTACCCCATTCACTGATCCTCTTATTTTCGGTATTATCTATTAGTTAACTGTATTATTGGCTGAGATTTTCAACTTGTGTATGCCAGTGGTTTTCAACCTGGGGGTCGCTAAAAATAATGAATGAAATGATTTTTCCAAATTATTTAAAAAGAAAAACAAAGTAAATTATTTATTTTGTGAAATTTTTAAGTATAAATTAATCAAAATTGTTTATCATGCAAATATTTTATCGGTAATTAAATCAAATTTTGATGAATAAAATATTTTTATTTTGAAGGGGTTGCATTACAAAAAAATAAAAATGAGGATCGCAATCCGAAAAAGGTTGAAAACCACTGATATATGTAACTACATAAAAATTACCTAAATAAAACTTATACCAATAACGAAAAATATGTGTATTAAAAAACCATAAAAAGGTATAAAAATTAATATACTTGGATATCAATTAAAATTATTTTATTAATCTTTAACAGATTTCATAAGATTCCCAAGTATTTGTCTCTTTTATAAATGTCACCAGTGTAAGTTTGTTGATAATATTTTATTGGTACATTATTAATGTAAATATTAAAATTTACCGTTATACTAGATAAAATATTTAAAAAAATATATCACACAAGAAAAGCTATGTTACCAGAAGAAACTATAAATATTAAATTGTTGACTCGTGATTTATTAAATCATTATTAATTCATATATTTTTATATTGTACTTATATTTAAACAAAATTTACAAATTCAGTTTTAAATTATTGTCATAAATGAATATTGTAACATAATAAAATATTATTAAGTTCTATTCAATTATAATTAATGTGCCATATAATTTGTCTTAAAAATTTTGTTAACAGGATTATTGAAAAAACATTTTACTTATTTATTTACTTGTGTAAATTGTACTTTTATGATACAGTATTATTTTAAATAACCAAAGGCAAATTACTAATTAGGTTTATTATCCTACTGTCTTTGTTTATAAGTCTGATCACAATTTAAACATTTTGAATAGTTTATATAATGTTGCCTGGTTTATAGAATTGAAATTATAATATTGTGTTTTCTCACAAAATTTGGTTTTCATTTAAATTGAAGGCATTTTTTTTTTTTTAAATATATGTATAAAAATTATTGAAAATCTATAAAATCGTTACTATGTATACATTTTAAATATCTGTATATTAATAATAACAAAAGTTTACCTGTTTTTGTTTTAATTTGAACATAATTATTAAAAATTATCATCTATCCTAGCATATTACTTATTTCAATTTTCTTATTGCAGAATTTAAATAGTTTACCAATTACTAATTCATCACAGACAATTTGACTTTCCAGAAAATAAAATTAAATCCATTTATCATCTATTTTAGTTAAAAATCTTTATTTAACTTGGCAGAACATTAACGTTTCTTGTAAATGCATGGTTTCAATTCCAATATCGGCAACTTCTTCTTTAAAGCTGTCTTGCTAATATCTTGAATTTTTTTGAAGTCCATGAAAACAAACATTTCAATTTCCCGGTCTAATTTTAAATTTTCAAATCCATATTTAGTTAAATGATCAATAAAAATATTAATATTATCAAATCGGCTTTCAATTTCTGCTACTTTCATTAAACCACTAAAAACAAATAATGTATAGTATTATTATTTGGTATACATTTAACTTCATCAAAAAGAATAATTTTATAAAAAAAAAGTTATTTAGATAATTAAAAATTATTTAGAATACTAACTCAATTATTAAATCAGTTATATACTTTAGATTATTACCCAGTTTTCAAGACTCTATTAGCTTCTTTGATAAATGATTGTAAATTTGTGCCCATCAAAGAAAGACAAAAAATTACTATATCAACAGATCCATTGGCTAAGGTAGTATGAGCCATATCTCCAGCAGTTACATGTTTATTAACAGCAACTAGATCAAATGAATGGATTTTATTTTTCGGGAAAGCCTGAGCAAGTTTAGCGTCACCACAGCCAAAATCTGCGACAACAACAGGTGATTTTTCCTTGGACTTTTTCAACCTTAAATATTAAAAACTATCAATAAAATGTAACAAAGTAACTCACATAATATACATAAAAAAATTAAATATAACATACATTGGAGTAATTTGTTTAATTATTACATCTAAAGGTTTGACTGGCCACCTAATAACTTGTTGCATATAACCATTATGATACGCTTTAAATGCCTCAGGATCTTTTTTGAAAAATAGTAAAGCATCTTGACTGGTAGATGAATAAAATTGTTCATTTAAATATCTAAAACATATTTTTTATCAATTAAGATTAATGAAGTCGTTTACAGTCTAAATTAATTTTTAGACTTAACTTAAGATAATTGACCTGTAAAATATTACCTAAATCTTGCACCTTTTAATTTATCTTTCATTCTTTTAATAAATGACACTGGAGTTTTATCTCCTTCAACCTTTTTTTGACGCTTGTAAAAAGTAGGATTTTCTGGTGCTCCTTTATAACTAATATTTGTTAATTTTACTAAACTATCATTGGTAATTGATTGAGTGGATTCTACAGTTGATTTAGGTTTTTTAGTATCACTTTTCAGACCAACTTCAATCAGAGCTTTTTTCGATATCTTTTTTTTCTTTTTCCCTTTCTTCTCTGCCAAACGTTTTATTTTGTTTCTTTTAATTTTATGTGTCTTACTAATTGTAGTAATAGCTTTAGCTATATTTTTTTTATTTTTAGCTTTCATTGTATAATATTTTATTTAACCGTTATGATTATCACCACTTTGCTGTATATCTAATTGTTGCTGAGCAATATCTGAAAGAGCCGCTTGTATCTGTTCAAGAAGAAATTCACCTTTTCGAACTACTTCCTCTAAGCGTTCAGCAGCCAACTGGTTTTCTTGTTCTAATCTTCTTAGACTTGCAACCTATGAAAAGTTAAAATACTTATATATTGTCTAACGTAAGAATACTTCTACCAACTTATACTATTATACATACTTGTAAATCTGTAGAAGTATCGTCATTGGGCAATGATTCAATTAAAACATCAATATCTTTCGCACAACGAGTAATAAGAGAAGAAAATAAACTAGTATAATCTAAAAGAAAATTTAAAATTAAAACAGTTAATCATTTATATTAAGGCTTTCAAAAATAAATACCTTCTTGTTGTTGAGGAGTTTGAGAACCGTTTCGGTCAAAGTTGGAGAATTTAGATGGTAAGGCACACTGCTGTAAAATGCCAATGCTATTACAGAAGTTATCCGCTTGCTATAAAATAAAAATTATCAAGTAAACTATTATTGAATAATGTGTAAATGAACAAAATATTATTTCTAGTTTCACTATTGGTAAAATTTGTTAGTCAAGTGGAATGCAACTTATAAAGTGAATACGTCAGGTAACCTGAAAGATTGATAAATTAAACAATCCGAAGCAAATACGATCGAAATAATTAGAATTAATAGCAACGCAACATTGAAATCAATATTTCCATGAAAAATAGTATAAATTTTTTTTTTGAATTGTGATATTAACAACATTTGTAAAGAAAATCACTATATTTATACATAAATTTATAATATTTATATTTATTTTAATTATTTTACCTGATTAACAATATCTTGAAGCTGCGTTAAACGATCGGCCATTTAGACTGTTTAACAAAAAACATCGATCACATACCGGCACACAAAACTAACAAATAGCAAACAATTACAACAACGGCTACTCGTTGGGTACCAATTACAGCAAGAACACGGGTAATTCAACACTTTCAGGACAGACACAACGTAACGCAGAACTATGTAATGACAGTCGCGCTAAACGTGAAGGAACAAGGTAAGAACAAGATGTGTGATAATCTTATCTATGGTAAGAACAGACCACATTATTTCGTGACGATATCAGCGAATTGCAAAGAGGTTGCGTCCGCATCACGGGTTTTCAACATCTACGGACAACCATCAGTACGGTGCTGTTTTTCCGAAAAACACCGATAACGCACGACGAGCAGCATTTTATTTTTTTATTTTAATTTTATTCATTCCCTTCTTTTTCCCCTCTCTCGCTGCCGCTTATAACCAATTTTCTTGACGATACTACAATATCCCATTTCCCGTTAGCTTTTCCGCCTGACAGTCGATGTAGGCGTCTTTCATGTCAATTCGTTAGTCTGCAGACGTTAACAACACCGTTGCCGTCACAACAGTCGCCGACGCCGTCGCCGCCGCAGTGACAAGTCGAACGCGCCCCTGTACCTAACCTTTCGCGTTGGATACTGTCGGCCTGAAGCGAACACGGTCACTTAGGTATTTACCACCGCGGCGGCATTCGGCAGAACAGGTAAGATTTTACGAAAAACGTGTTGTCCACCTCCACCGCTGTCTCAGACTTGCTGTACGAGTGTCGAGCACTCGATGAGCACTCCGCAGTCGGCACTCGCGTTTCCGTCGGTGATCACTGTCTTGTTATCACCCGGGCGCCGAACATACGCACACCACCTGGTATTATCGTGCAATTTATTACCGATTTTTTTAATTAATACCTCCGAAAGTTTTTCCGACATACCCAAATATTTTTCCTTTTAAATGTTCAATAATTTTTATTTTTGTCGACCATTTTTAAACTTCTCCTCAAACACCTAAATATATTAAACTCATAATGTACAACATTTATAGATTTCTACTCTTCAGCCTCGATCACTTAGTCCCTGCGCAATGAAAACAATTGCCCCTGCGCAATGAAAACAATTGCTGAAAAACAACTATTTTTAGCTTTAATAGTTTTTTTTTAAATTTTTTCTCGTAGGACAAGAAACTTTTAGAAAACTAAAAGGAACTATGGAGAAAGGTGACAAGAAAAACAATGACTGTTACTTTTATTATTATTCAACTTGCATGAAAGTAAGTTTAAATTTTGTATGAAATATGACAAAGTGATACTTTATCATTCGTACATTAATTGTCACAAATTTCTTATATTGTCATATAAAATTCAATAATTTTTTAAAAAAAATATATACAAATACTTATGTAAAAATATTTTAATTTTAATACTAATTAGTAAAATCTTCATTGCATTTTTTTCTGATGCAAGCTTGACTTAAGATATATATAAATTAATAACAAAATCAGAAATGCATTTAAATTTATGTTTAATGATTTTATAAAATTGTATTTATCATATGACATTGGATATGTAAAAAAAAAAAAAAAATATTTAGTACATATTCTCTACACCACTAATTCCTGTAATAATTGTGTTAACTATACTTATAATAAATGTATTATATTTTTATAATCTTATAATGTGTAATATAGGGAGATAAATGCCCATTTCGCCATGAACCACAAGCTTTAGGATGTGAAATGGTGTGTAGTTTTTGGCAAAGTGGGAAGTGTGAAAATGATCATTGTACATTACGTCATATGGAGTTAAAGGTAATTAATCTTCTATATTAACCTGATTTTAATTTAGTTGAAATGATTTCTTAACCTCTGAAGGTTGTATTTAATTTGTCACTAGAGATACCTAAAATCTGTATAGTGTTTATTAGTTTTGTACAAATACTTATTTTATGCTGAAAATTTTATATTTGTTTTACTATATTTTGCTACTATAGTTAAATAATACATATATTAATTTGTGAAGAACAAATAAAATAAAATATTTCTTTATGATTTTATTTAATATAACATTTATTATATAATGCCATAATTAAATTAACAATTCAAAACTAATATTAATTATCTTAGATTAAATATGGAATTGAATTTGCATTTAAATATAACATTTAAGTAGTCAATTTATTTTTAAATATTTTTATTGTAGAAAAATCGTAAAGCAATACCATGTTACTGGGAAAAACAACCTACTGGATGTCGTAAGCCATATTGTGCATTTTTACATACCAAACCTCGTGATCCATCTCAAGATGCAGGTATGCCAGAATAATCCTGAATTTATGTTGATAATAGTGTCTGTTCTTCTATTTTTTTCTTTTTATAAAATTGACAGTTTAATTTAAAATTTAAAACAGTAGTCTCATGCTGATTATGTAAACAATAATCACTAAGTATTAATATTATTTTTTATTTTTATGATTTTAAAATGTATTTTAGAAATTTTCATTATTAAATATAGAATAATTTATAATTACAATTTAATAAAATTATAGTTAATTCAAATAATAATCTGTTTGAATAAATACAAATAAAAAGACTTGTATACTTGCAATAAATATTTAGCTTCTATGTAATGGAAATTTTTAGTTTTATGTTTGGAAACATTTATTTTTCAAAGCCCAAGATATTTTTTTATTAATAATTTAATAATCTATATGTGTATATGTATTGTGATATTGTAACACATAAATATTGATTGTAAAATTTCCATTTTTATTTATTTAATGTTGATCAGGAGCTATTGCGATGGCAGCTAACACTATGGCCATTGAAAATAGCTTTCGTATGAACCCAATGGCTGGTGTCGCTCTTACTGCTGGTCCTGAAGCTGCAATGCGACAACGTTACGACCAGCCATTAAGAATGAATTGACAACCAATGAACGCAAGCTCGGCATCTACTGTATATGGCAGTTCTGTCGTCACACTGCCATACGTATTCAACAATAATCAATCCACTGCTGCCATGTTTCTTGATCATTGCAATTTTAACGCATTCATGTAAAATTTAACTTTGATACTAAGAAATTTTGAAAACAGTTTTCCTAGAAATCTTCATAATCTTATGGTCGAGACAGAACTGTTTTATTTTTAAAGAATTGCATTATTTAATAATTTATGGCCGATGCTTGTTTATTTATTTTTGTTTTATATTTTGAATATTTTATTATTATTATTATTATTACAAAATATTGTTATTATTATTATAATTATTTTTTTTTTTTAATAATTTAATATTGAGGACTTGTTTAATGAACATCATGTTTTTGTCTGCACTTGTAGTTCATAAATAACGTGTGTTGCATAATTCCACGTTATTCAGCTCAATTTCTATTTATCTGTTTGCATTCTGAATGCTTTAAAAATAAGTTATTAATTAATGCTTTTTTGTTTTGATCTTAATATTTATAATAACAACTATTTATAAATAGAAAATTTTAGTTTTGGTTTTGTTAAAAAAATTATTATCTAAATAGTATAAAATGTGCAAATTTAATACATAAATTATGACATAAAGAATTAGACGTGTCTAGTCTATGCACACCTAATATTATGAAATTGAACATAATGAAAATACTATTACCAGTAATATAAGTTGTTATTAAATAGTTTTGTTAATGTTATTTATTTTTAATTTTTTTTTCTTTAATGTTTACTATTGAAATAATGTAGTGGATCCAGTATTATCTGTAAAAAATATGTATATTTTTTTGCTCAGTTCTGGTCCAATACGACGATTGGAAGCTAGTGGACCAAATCCACGACGAACCTAAAATTTGTAATAATTTTTTTCTAATAATTAATTTTAATACAAATATATCTTATGCTATTTTAATATTTTCAACTAACTTACAGGAATATCTTGTAATAATGTTTCTCCTTCTAATCTAGATCTGCAGTTTTCATATGCCTAAATTAAAATTTAAACACTAATATTTATAATATTTAAAAATAATGAATATCAAATACATTAAGATGAAATATTTTTTTTACATCAAAATTTGTTTTACTTACTTTTAGTAATGTAATTGGTGAAGTATAAACTGATGAGATTGCTTCACTAATCTCAAGAGTACATAATGGAAACTGTGATAACATTTGTCTCCATAGTTGAGATAAACCTGTACCATTTTTATCTACTGAAATACAATTTTTCGTATGACCAGATGCATACCAATTACAACCATCTTGTTCCTCTTTATATTTATTCAATCTTTAAATAAATAATGACATTAAAACAATATTAAGTATAGAAATTGGTAATTTTATTACTTAAATGGCTTTTGAGCAATGGATTTAGTATAATACAAAATTGCCAATGAAATTTCATTTTTATTTTCTATAAAACGAAATGAAATAGAACAACTCAACAGCATTTGTTCAAGACTTTTCAACATATCTGACCTATCACAAAATATAATTTTAGAGTAAATACTAATCATTTTTTTGACATTTATTTACTACCTTGAGAGTTGACTATTCTTCTTAGACCTGGTTTTTCTGTAAGGTAATTCATTACAAATATTTAAAAATAATTCTTAATTCAAACTTATTAATAATTGATGTAAATAGAAAAAATATGGGAGGTCAAAGTTCTATTTAATTTTACATGTAAACATGTATAAACAATCATCAATTATATTAATTTAACGGTACCTAGAGGTCTATAAAAATTTATATTTTTCTTCTAGCAAAAGATTTTTAAAAAGTCTCTTAATCAACTTTTTCTTTTCTATAATTATATATTAAAAATATACATACTTAAGTTCATCTGTAGTACAATGTATTATAATTGAAAGTTGTGATTTGTATATTTTTATAAAATTAATTTTTTCAATTAGTTGATCAGATAAAATTAATTTTTTTACGAATTCAAAGTCCCAGATCAACAACATAAAGCTTTCATCTTCAGAATTAGTATCAGACTGGAAAAATTATAATTATATATAAATAATTATGTTATGTAAACAAAATATAAAAATTACCATTTTTATTTCTGTTAATACATTAGCAATATTTTAAATAATTTTTTAATTTTATTTTATAAATATATAAATAAATGGCATTAATATAACCTATTGATTGTAAATTAATATTTTATTCAGGTCTTTTACCTTAAACTAAAAGTAACGTTTATAAACATGGAACTTGTTTGAAATATTGTACGTTTGTCACAAAATAGATCAGAACTTTTTATAATTTTTACTATACATGACCACTTTTATTAAAAAAAAAATTATTCATCTAATATATATTGATACTACTGGCTGATTTCTAATTTTTATTTTCCATCAGTCAATGGGATTTGAAATTCATATGTGTTGTCTTAGTTTTCACTCGAACAACATAGTAAAAATTAACAACTTTTTCACAATATTTACTATTACATTTGATTAATTAAAACCATAATTCTGAAAACATATTCTAATTCATAATGAAGTCCTTTTGAAATCAATCAAACCACTTTTTGATTTATATCTATAACTTCCATAAATTTGATTTCAAAAATCAACAAAAAAAAGGGTTTGAACAAATAAAGTATTCTTTGATTTAAACAAAATATATGAATTATAAATAGTATGAAGAGTGTTTAAAAAAATTAGTTAAAAAAAATCAATATATTTAAGATGTATTTTAGATACATTATAAATTATAATGCTTGTAATTAATTAAATAGTTTAAAAGGTGTTTTTCTAATTACTATTTACTCAAGATCTTATTATAATGTAAACTATAAATACAACTTGTTAAACTATACTAACTACATAAAATATATGATAGGAATGATGTAGAATTACTAAATTTAAAATAATTATTTACTATTTGTCTTGACCATGTCACTGAATGTGACACAGATGTATTTGACTCAATTTTATACTTTACATCAGTTGACTGAATTTCAGATATTATTTGTTCACTATAACCCTGATTCTGAAGATTCACATCAATGTGAACAGTTATATACTGAAAAAAATTAACATTATATACATTTAAAAATGTATAACATTTTATCAAAAGAAAATACATACTTTCATACATTCTTTAGGACTTAAACGTTTTAGTTCGTCAGCTAATTTTTTCTTTATATTTTTTCTGGCCATTTCTATTTTTTTTTTTTCTTCTTTTTCTTCTTTGCTTAACCTTTTTTTCTGTTTTGGCTGTAACTAAATTTAATATTGTATACATATATACATTATATACATATTAATTTCACTAGTAGAAATTATATTTTTGTGCAATTGCTCATATACTAATTATAAATCATAGAAATGTTAAATTAAAAATGTTTTTAGCTTACTAATATATATTTATTTATATACATACATAAATATATTAAAAAAATCATAATTTTATATTTACAATTTCAATTGTGTTTTCATGGCTCATAGTAGTATAAATATCTGATTTTGGAATGTTTCTATTATACAATTCATCATTTTTTTGATTTTTCTAAAATATAAATCATAATTCAAATAAACATAACGATTATTTAAAATTTGTACAGTATACTTTTTATTATTTCATGATCATTTCTAAAGAGTTATTAATTTTTGTAATTATATATGAGAGCATATACATAGCACAATATATGATTTGTTTTTAAATATATTTGATATAATTACTCACAGGTTCATTAATATTTGATTTGGGTATTTTAGTACGGTAACTATAGTCTTGATTTTCATTAGTGGGCAAATTTTTCTCTGAATAACTTGCATCTTTTCCGCAATGTAAAGTTAAAATTGGAGATAAAGATTTTTTTCGTTTTTGCTAGACAAAAAAAAAAACATAAAAAATATAAAACATTAAAAAAATATATTTAATTATCAATAACTCAATATTATACACGTCGAATAACTTGTCGAAAAAATTCTGGTTCTTCTGGTGATGTAGGACAGTCTTTGTACAGACTAATATTTGTTTGATCAGTTCCAGGATTTAAAATTATGACTGAATCATTATCTGAATCCGATATCGCATAAGTCTTATAAAAATCTCTATCCATAGTCAACAATTAGCATTAATTACGAAATAAATTGCAATAGATTTAATATTTAATTTAATTTATAAAACAAATATTTTAAGATTATTTACATTTAAACGACTGTTACGATAACGGGCATCAGGCAGTTAACAACCTGTGATAATAACATGAGATAACAAAAAAAAAATCAAAAAAACAAAAGTACCAATATCGAAATGTAAAAATCCCACGAATCTTGCCACCGTAGTGACACCAACCTAAAATATTTATTAATTTTCCAATTCAAATATTGTAAAATAAAAAAATGTATTTAAGATTTGTGGAGTGACCAAAAGTATCAGTTGGGACGATTTAGCGGATTGTAGGTCTCGCTTATTGCAGGGCCATTTCAAAAATTTGATGTGATAAATAAATGTATTAAAATATGGGCTTACCAAGTGTGGGTCAGTTGCAAAGGTTACTACTGTGGGTCTAATAGACCAAGTTATAAATTCATTTGTTAATTTTCTTATGCTGGCTATAAACATAGATATCTATATTATACTAGATGACGAACTTCCGATATCACTTGAAGCACGCATTAATTATGTTATCATTTGTCTGCCATGTTTTGGGTTGGCAAAATATTGTATCAACACTATTCCCCACACATCACAATATTAATTATACACTATTTAGTAACTAATATTTATTAAATATGCCTGTTTCTTGTATTGCATACGGTTGTTCAAATCGCTTTAAAAGTAATTCCTCAATTCACTTTTTTCGGTACGTATGAAGTATAGATAATATGATTTAAAAACACCTCAACATTTACATTTTTAATTGCAACGTATATTCTGTACATTCTCTGTATCTGTATATTCTCAATTAGGTGAAACATTCCAGCCTCATTCGTGCATCGATCCCGAAAACGACACAATTATTGAAATTCAACAATTTCTATCAGCTTCGCTACCTATGTCGCTACCTGAAACCCATCTTTCCTGGTGAAATTCAGTATAACTATAATTAAAAAATTATCTCCCGGCAAGGCACCTGAAAATGACCTCATTACAAACAAAATTCTGAAAAATCTGTCTCTCAAAACTTTATCATTGCTCACCCACATATAAAATTCTATGCTAAGATTGTCCCACTTCCCTAAAATCTGGAAATTTGCAGTCATTATACTTGTACACAAACCAAATAAAGCTAAACATTTATCTTCGTCATACCGTTCCATAAGCTTACTTCCAGTCATTGGTAAACTTTTCGAAAAGGCTCTCCTGAAAAGATTACGTCCCATCCTTCAAAACAACCATATCATACCGAATAATCAGTTTGATTTTCGAAACAGGCACTCAACAATCCATCAAGTTTATCGCCTTACTGATGAAATCTCAACTGCTCTCGAAAATAAATTTTGGACTTTTTTTAGATATTGGTCAAGCATTCGATAAAGTCTGGCACGATGGCTTACTATACAAATTAAAACTTTTGATGCCAGCTCCCTACTATCTTATTATCAAATCTTACCTACAAAATCGTTCGTTTGTCGTACGATGGGGTAACAATATTTCATCTACTTACCCAATATCTGCTGGAGTTCCATAGGGTAGTGATCTATCCCCTGATCTATATAATGTATTCACAACAGACATCCCTCAATCTAGTAACACCCTTCTAGCAACATACGCTGATGACACAGTTATTCTTTCCTCCAGTACAAATCCTATCCAAGCTTCAGCTGAACTCCAGGATCATGCTAATAAAATTGAAGAATGGGCCAAAAAATGGAAAATAAAAATTATACGGAAAAGTCTGTGCAAGTTACTTTCACGTTAAAACAATCTCCCTGTGAGTGCCCTAAATTAATTATGAACAACGCCCCCATCCCTGTCCAAACCAAAATTAAGTACTTATGCATAACGCTTGATAAAAGACTAACCTGGGGCCCCCACCAAAAAGAAAATCATCGAACAGCAGACTTCACCTCCTCCGACCACTCCTAAACTCCAAAATAACACTCCAAAACAAACTTATTATATATAAGTCAATCATAAGACCAGTCTAGGTTAGAATTATAATCAAAAATGCTTTTTATCAGCTATAATTCTTATCAGAGGGAACAACTACCCCATCCCTACGATAACAAGACAAATGATAATTAATAAGTATTATCTATTCACAGAACAATTTGTTCTGTGAACTAGTATAAGATCTATATACCTATACTTCTTTATACTTAATTTATACATATATGTATACTTCGTTTCAAAAAAGAACATACCGTTTGCGTGACTGGTTTTGGTTCGGCGGCGCGCATCCCCCACCTGTTGATACAAAATAATAGTAATATCAATAAAAATAAATTAATAAATATTACGCACTGATTCCTATATAACTTTACATGCCACACCGCCGCGCTTGTCAGATATTTATTAATTGTAAATAAGTTATTGGAATTAGGTGTATACTCGTCGGCAAACTTTGATCGGCGACCGTCGTGCACGATCGATGTCTCGTTTCAATAAATGTGGGAGAAATTAGCCTTGGGGCGGTTGACACAGCCTTCGTAACTTTAGGGAAATTTCCCTAGTTTTAGGGAATTCTGACCTTATTAGGGAAATGAGGAATTTTCTTTTAGAAACTGTTGGTTCTAGGGAGTTTTTAGATTTTAAGCTGGTTGGTTTTTTTTCTTTATTTGAAATAAGCAATCTATACCGAAGGGGCACAATCAGTTGATGTGATCAGTGTAGTTCGAGTATAATGTATACAATGTATACTATACATACATATTAATTTTATTAATCACAGGTTAGGTTACAGGCGAAAACTGTGAGCAGTCATTTCATTAATGAGTAATGACCATTAATGACAAAAACAAAATATAAGAATTCGAAGTATTATATTACGAAATAATAATACTAAATAAAAATAACCACAATAATAAAATATGCAGCAGGTCTAATTTAGAATTCTTCGGAAACCCATGTAGTATATGTACCCATGAACCCGTAGTATAATTTACTATAAATGAAATACTTATACCGAAAAAACAATTGAAGTAATAATGATTTATGAGTTAATGACAATCCATGAAAATTAAAAATCACTAAATATAGAATTTTAATTTCATTGGCTAATGAAGAAAAATTAATTTGTGCGGCTACTTGTGGAACACTTTTAGAATAATATAAAATTATAATACCTATAATAATAAATTGTAATATGGACGAAATACGAATACGTTTTGTCGTCATTCGCCAACAAGTACTCAACGCTCTACGTGTCTCGTACTGTTGTTCAGGTACTTAGGTGTTTGTTGTTTTTTATTTTTTATTATTCATTATGTCGGACTCGGATGTCGATAATCCTCTAACGCCACCTAAAGAAATTAAATTGTCTTATAAACAAAAATATTGTGTTGAATGGGAGGCAGTTGCCTCATTTAAAGGATGGCTTTCAGCGAGCAAAAAAGGTAATATTTTAAAAATGTACTTTTATATACCTATAATATATTTTAATCAAATACCTACTTAGGTATTCATTATAAATTTTTTTTAGGGAATACATTTTTTCATTGCAAAGCATGTTTAGTAGATGGAGTAGCTGGTAAATCAGAAATTGAAAAGCATTCCCTTGTCAAAAAACATTTGAAAAATATGGAAAGCGCTAAAAATCAATCTAGTATAAGTAAATTGTTAACAGATCACAGTTAATTGGAAAATGAAGTATGTACTAATAAATATTCAAATACTCTTGAAAAATAGTATTCCAAATAGGTACATCATAAAAAAATGTATAATTATAGGTGAAATATGCTGAACTACAACTGTCATTGTTCATAGCTGAACATAATTTACCATACTCTATCATGAACCATTTACCGAAGCTCATAAAAAAAATTTGTCCCGATACGAAAATTTCACACAATTTGAAATGTGGTGATAATAAATGCAAAACAATCATATCTTATGTTGTAGCTGCTGTAAGTCATGATAACCTTATGAACGACCTCAAGTCCCGTTAGTTTTCAATAATTTTAGATGAAAGCACCGACAGATCTTCAATTAAGCACTTGGCTCTAGTTGTCCGTATAGTTCAATCACCTTTTTATATAATGGATAGATTTATTACCTTAATTTAAGTGAATAGTGCTACATCACAAACATTGTATGACCTTGTTATAAATTTTTTTGATGAAAATAATATACTTTATAAAAAGAATATGATTGGGTATGCAAGTGATGGGGCAAATAATATGATGGACTCACATAATTCCCTAGCCACAAAATTGAAGAAAGATATTCCAAATCTTTTTGGATTTAAGTGTATCTGCCACTCATTCCACCTATGTGCATCTTATGCTTGCATGAAATTGCCTAAGTATGTGGAAGATATAGCTCGAGATATTTACAATTATATTAGTAACAACCCAAAAAGGGTTATGTGAATACAAAGAATTTCAACAGTTTTTAAATTTAAAAATGCATAAACTACTTCATCCAGCCCAGACAAGATGGCTTTCATTACATTCAGTTGTGAAACGGATAATATCACAATACCCAGCTTTAAAGTTGTACATTACTTCTGCTGCATTAAACAATGGGTTAGAAAATGCAAAAATAATTTTAGATTGATTAACCAATCCCTTAACATTATTATATTTTGAATTTCTTGATTTTGTTCTACCATTTTTCATAGATCTTAATATTGAAATGCAATCAACAACTGTTAAAATACATGTAGTTTATGATAAAATTGGATCTTTGTACAAAGAAATACTCAATTGCTACATGAAAAAAGATTATATTTATAAAAAAGATGTTAACGAAATATAATATAGAAACCCTGAATTCTTTTTAGATTTAAAAGATATATATCCAGGTGGTAAGGTTATGGCTTCAATAACCCTAATTTTGGCTGAAAATAAGTTAACAGATGGTATGATACAAGACTTTACATTAAGGTGTCAATATTTTTATAATTGATAAGTTTAATAAAGTTATATAATATAATTTATTGCAATAAAATAAATTATTTTATATTATTTTTCTTAAAAAGTGTATTATATTTTAGGTTTTCAGGAGTTATCGCTATCAATTTCTATTATCATTTATCAGTAAT